CTTGAGCTCCGACTCTCACCCCACCCCCTCTGCCGGACCGCCCCACCCCTCTACAACTACCCTCTCCCCCAGTCAACGGCCCTGATGCCCAGCTGGCGTGCCCCACAGCCGCGGAGGCCGCCCCCACACGCGGCCTGAACGCCTCCGACCGCTCCCTCCTGGCGGCTTACAACTTCAACTGCACAGCAGGCAACGGCGACATCGTGCCCCTCCTGTCGGCGCTCGACGGCAAGTTTGCCGGCCCGGCCGCGCGCACGCGCGTCGCGGCGCCGCCGCCGCCCCCGTCTGCGACCAGGAAGGGGGCGGGCGCGCAGGGCGGCGGCAACAACGCCGGCAAGATCGCAGGTGAGCACCCGTGGGTCGCGCATGGGGTGTGGCTTACTGCAGGTGATGCACTCAGCCTGACACGCCTCATTTGTTTTGGTGTTACCCTGATGGAATCTCACTCCCCACCCCAGTTCCCGAGGTCCCTCTCGACGCGACACTGGCACCCTCCTCCTCACCCCCCCTCTGGGGCACCCGCATTCACGCCGAATCCTCACCCACCCCCGCCAAAACCCCACCCCCCCCTCAAGGCATCGTGGTGGGCAGCGTGGCCGGCGTGGCCATCCTGGCTGTCGTCGGCCTGCTGGTGGCGCGCCGCACCAAGCACCGGCGCGCGGGCTGGACCAAGGACCCGCTGGACCAGGGGCCAGGGGTGCCACCGGGCGCCGCCGCCGCCGCGGCGCCGGGCAAGCGCGGGCTGGGCTGGGGCCGCGGGGCGGCGCGCGACCTGGAGGCCGGCGCGTTTGGCGTGATGCCGGCCCCCGGCGCGGCCGCCGTCGACGCGGCGCCGCCGCCGATCGAGACGGCCGCGAGCCTCACCGCGCGGGGCTCCAACAACCTGGAGATGGCGCGCAGCGGCAGCGCGCGCCTGGGGCCGCCGCAGGGGTCGGTCAAGTCGAACGGCGGCCTGTGAGAGCGCGCGCGCCCCACCTGACGGTGCGGAGCGTGAGCGTTCGCACGTCGACGGCCTCGCTTGCACAGCAGGCTCCTTTGGCTGCTGCCGTTCCCATCGCTTCGGCGGCAGCGGTTGCTTGCATCACTAGTCGCGTGTAGCTGCCGGCGAGCCACGCGCGTGGCAACGTCTGCGCCCCAACAAATCTTCTCCTCAATGCGTGGGAGGAGCGAAGCGAAGCGCCCCAACAGCCCGCATCACATGTGTGAAGGGGGGCTGCCCCGCGTCATGCGGTGGCTGTCCGCCCAAGGAGCGGGGCGTGCCCGCCCTGCTCTAGGCTAGGGTAGTCTCAGTTGGGGCGCGGGCCATGAGGGGCCGCCACCCGCACAAATCGAGTGCAGGCCGGCAGGGTCAGGGCCAGGACAGCAGGCCGCCTTCCATTGAGGGGAGTGTGCGTAGGCGCCCACCCAACACCACGCGCCCGCTGCACCGGGCTAGAGTGTGATGGCTGGTGGCTTTGGCCGCCGGCGGGGCCCGCTTGTTCGGAGTGTGCCGCACTTGATGGCTACGTTCGTGCGCCGGGTGTAGCAGCCCCTGCTTCCCGCCCAACCCGTCCAAACCAGCAGGGTGTACCCCGTGGTCTGGGCTGCTTCCACACACATTGGATAAACCGGGGCCCCCGCCTGGGCTTCCTCATCCGTGCACAAAGGTTTCTTACACAACCGCCTTGAATTGCAGCGCATTGCTCATGCCAGCACCCTGCGTATTGACATCGTTGTTACTACACCGGCGGGTGAGGCGCTGCAAGGCCTGCAACAGTGGGGGCCGGCGTCTGCTGCCCCGCGTTGCGCCCGTTTGGAGCCACTCGGCCGCATCGCCTGACCGCCTCACAATTGAGCACTCCCAAGCCAGGTGGCACTATGATTTGAAATGCATATGCATCTTTGCTCGTACCGTAATACTTGCTTTCTCAACCCAGCCGCATTCAGGAGGAGAGTGTTGGGGTCAACGGACGGGGGTAAGGGGCGCTCATGAAAGCAACCCGCGATGTCCCTCGCATGACGTCAGTTTGCAGCGTGATCAGCCAATCAAGCCCAGCGCCAGGAGCTGCTGCACTGCGCCGTTGAGCAGCAGGCCGCACCCCAGCGCCAACAGCAGCCACGCCAGGGAAGCCCGCCAGACATTCCCCAGCCGCTGGCGAATGCGAAGCGCACCCTGAGAGCAGCCGGGGCCGGGCCGCAGTGCGCGCCCCAGCGCCCCCAACGACGGCCCCGTGCCATTACTGGAGCCGCCACCGTTGAAGCTGGTGCTGCCGTGGCCACCAACCGGCGTCAAGACTGCACCTGCCGGTGTTGATGCAACTGCTGCTGCTGCTGCTGCTGGTGTCGGTGTGACTGGCTGCATGGGTAGCGTCCGCCCCTCCTCCACGCCGTCCGCCAGCAGGGGCTGAGACAGGGTCGCCGCGAAACCCGCGGTGCGCTCTGCGCGGGCCGCGCGCCGCTTGGCCGTGCGCCTGTTGAGCGCCAGGCCCAGCAGCCCCGGCACCAGGAAGGCCTCCACTGACGCGGCGCCGTTGCCGATCACAGACAGCGCAGCCCAAATGTCTGCTCATGGGGTGACCGCGGCGGCGGTGCAGTGGGTGGGTGTCATGGCGACATGTTTGATAGAGGGCGCGCTAGGGTAGAAGCAAGGGTCATCAGACGCCCCACCTAGCCAGCTGAGCAGTCACTCCACAGGGTCGCCGGCAGCGTATTGCATTGTCCAAGAGGCCACGATCACAAACAAATCAGGCCCGGCAGATGCACTGCAATCCCGCCAGGGTCCCTCGCCCCAGGTGCACACCCGGGATTGCGATGGCCGCTGCTGTCGCACAGACCAGGATGCCATACGTCAGAGCCAGGTAGTGGCGCGACTCCCTTTCCGCAGCCACATCGCGCACGCCGCTGCCGTCCTCGCTACTGTTGTCGCTTTCGCTGTCGCTGCTGTTGCCGCCGCCGCCGCCGTCGCTGTGGCAGCGTGCTTCCCGCGAGGTACCGCGTCCCGCGCCCAAGCCGCTGCCTTCTGCCCCACTGTTGTCCCACACCAGCTCCGCCAAGCTGGTCCTGGGGGGTGGGGTGCGCAGGCAGGGGGTGTCGCTGGGAGGGTGGGTGCGACAGGGAATGCTGGATGGAGGCCAGGCCGTCTCGCCGGGGCGCCTCTGTCCTTCACCCGAGCGGCATGCAGGGCCAGCACCTGTTGCCTCGCTTGGGCGTCTCGCATGGTGCCAACAATGACAGTGAGACATTAGGACTGACTTTGCAGCATGCGGAGCTCCTAGCCTGAGCCAAAACGCTCCCATTGGCCCTCCCACCTGAGTGGGTGCACGAACAGCACCAGGGAGCTCAGCACCGTCACAAAGTAGCCGCCCAGCAGCGCCACCGCCACACCGCGCGCCGCGCCCTCGCCGCCAAGCAGCGGCGCCATGGCCGCCACGCTAAAGCTTGAGAGCGCGTTGGCGTGGAGATGCGGGCCAAAGGCCAGGCACGCCCCCACCGCAAAGCAGAGATAGACTGCGAGGGCAATGGCCAGGGCGGCGGCGCACACGCGTCGCATGCGCGCCGGGGTGTAGCTTGCGCCCAGGAGAGGCATGGCCGGGTGCACTGCCTGGTGCGACAGGGTGGACGCGGGAGGTGCTGGGTGAGGCTTTCAGGGGCTGGGATGAGTGGTGCCCTGAAAAACGAAGGGGGGGGGGCGCCAGGTACACGCAGCGCTAGGTTCTCGGAAAATTGCTGCCACCGAGTCGGCGTGTCAGCCAGCGCAGCCCGCCACAGCCCCGCACCTGGTGGGCCACAAAGCTGGTGAGCACCACCGCCAGGACACCGACAGCGTCCACCACAAGAGACACCAAGGGGTGGCGCGCAGCTGCGTCGCCACCCCGCACGCCGCGGCTGCCGATGCCGCCGCCGCTGCTGGGCCAGGGGGTGCGGTTGTCACCCCCGCCGTCAGTGGGCCCGTCTGGCGCCAGGTGCGGCGGCATCCAGGGCAGCGGCTGGGCGGTGCCGCGGGCCAGAGCGGACGCGCCCAGGGCAGCGGCCAGGGCGGCGAGGCTGAAGGACGACGCGATGCCGGCGTAGTTGAGCCAGGTCAGGCGCTGGATTGACCTGGCGGAGGTAGGGGGGGTTGCACGGGGTTCAGAGCAGGTGGATGACGAGCTGCCCTGACGATTTGCAGTTCAGCACCGACTGCACGGCTCATCTGCAACCAAAACTCTGCATGAGCCGTGTGAATTGTTCCCCTCGACGGTGCAGGGGCCGGGCGATGCTGCTGGTTGTCGTGCGCACCAGCCACACGCAATCATGACCGCCCGCACGCCGCCACGCGACACATCACTTGCACACCCGACACCCGGCACCTGAGCAGCAGCAGTGGTGCGGCGGCGCCGCCCGCGACGGCAAGGAGCACCAGGCTGCGGCTCTCCAGCGGTCCGTTAACGGCGCCGGTCAGCAGGCAGACGAGGCCGTTGCATGCTGCCGGGGGGTTGCCCCTCACAACATCGGTGAGCACAACCAGGTTGACCACCACAAAACCAAAGCAGAACAGGATGACCGAGACCTGCGCCAGCAGTCCGGTGCGCGGCCCCACCGCCGACTGCACGAGGCGGCGGTACGTCGTGGCGCCGCGGTAGCGCCTCGCGCCGTCCACCAGGAGGGCCTTGCTGTGCAGCACCAGCAACGCCACCAGGGCCAGCATGGCGGTGCCCAGGGCGGCGCCCAGGGTCAGGTAGGCGCGCGGTATCGCGACCATGCCTGGCGGGAGGGTTTCGGGACGCGGGAGCGGGCGGGTGGAGCGATAAGCTTCCCCTCTGAACCATGCCGCTGCAGTAGCGTGGTGTCAGGTGCGCAAAGGGGTCGACGGGCCTGCGGTGCGCGGTGACGTCACAACTACGCGGTGCGCTTGCGGGGTGGTCCTGGGCGTAAGGCGAGCATCATGAGAAGGGCCACCTGCGCCGATGATGGCCTTGGCGAGCGCAAGGGTGCATGACGCAAAGGCAGACGTCCGGCCGGACGGCGCCACCGCTGCCCCAGGCGGCGCCGCCACCATATCTGCGACTTCGCCTCTAGGCAGTCAGATGTCTAGAACACGTCCTTGATCAAAACTGCTGACCACACACTGCCAGGGCTAGCGGCCATCTGACACGTGCCGCGTCCCGTATTCTCCTTCATAAAGCGTTATATACCAGTATGCATTTTTCGATCATCGAGACACGACATTCTACCAAGACGGATTGCCTTCCGGACCATGCTGGGGTTTGCGGCGAGTTGGCAGCGCAAGTCAACGTCCGGCCCCTGCGGACTCTGCATATGCACTTTGCCACCTAGCTGACTGCGTGCTGCAGGCAGAGAATGACTGGTACAGCCGACCTGCTATGTTGACCGAACATGCGTGTGGATGAGCACACGCATGTGTCACGGTCACACACGTTTACTTGGACATGCACACCCGCCCCCAACCCTCCCATCATTGCTGGCACAGTCGAGCCCCTGACGCAACTAAGCTGGGGCGTGGCAGTCCGACTCAGGGTGGAGCTGGCAAGGCCCCGCCATGTCGACCCTGTTCTGCAGGGTGGTGGTGGCTGTCGGCACTGGTTCCTCTGTCATGGCGTGGCGGCAGGTGTGCAGGCGCAAGGTGGCGCACGGGCGGCAGATGCGCCGCCTTGCGGTCTTGCACGCGCTTCCCGCAGCTCAACCTACCGGTGCAACTTGAAACACTGTGGTACAGCATGGGTCAATTCCATCGCTCCTGCTGCTGCTGCTGCTGCTGCTGCTGCTGCTGCTGCTGCTGCTGCTGCTGCTGCTGCTGCTGCTGCTGCTGCTGCTGCTGCTGCTGCTGCTGCTGCTGCTACCACGAAGCACAGCAGGCAATCTCTCATGCAGGAGCATGGTGGTCAGCCAATGGCGGCACCCTCACGTGCAGGGGGCATGTCCCTGTCCTGCTACCTTCTACGTTCCAATCAGCTAGCCAGCTGTTGAGGCAGCTTCGCAACAAAGCTGCAAACAAGGGCCAAGCCAGGCATGCTTGCCTGCTGACAACAGGCAATGCAGGGTGGTGCGCAGCGCAATTTGCAGCGTTTGCTTGTTCCCGTCCTGCGTTTCTGTGGGGCACCCATTGGCCACATTGTGTGTACAGGGGCACTGTTGGAGGATTACAACGAACTGGGCCGTAGACACTCCCTCAAAAAGGAGTCATCATGACTGCTCACAGACGCTCTCGGCAAAACTCTGGATCCCTGATGCCGCATGCAGCTGCAGGGGATGCTCCCAGCAGCACACTACTGCTGGCGGGCCTTGAGGCCAGGCATGAGGGGCGGCAGCACGTCGGCCTTCTCCTTGCCACCGCGGCCCGCGCCGCTGCCGTCAGAGACCTGGGCCGGGGTGAGACGGGCATATAGTCCTTCACACCCCGCCACCCCCGTCAACGCCTCCAGCCTCGCCTTGCGCGATCATCAACGCGTCCAGGCCTCCATGCCACCCCACCTGGACTACCCCTCCCCTCCGCCTTGCCTCTCGACGCTCAACTGCAGCCCCCCTTGCC